CTTTTTTTTTGTCTATGTAAATTCCTAATTGCAAATAACAGTTAAAGATTTGTGCATATATCAGTAAGGGCGCATTTTAGTACAAGAGACACAGGTTACCCGTCAATTTTGGTAATTTTCCGGGGGGTACGTTTATTCCGGGGGTATGTTTATTTGATTTTGAAGATTTGTCCCGGGGGTACGTTTATTCCGGGGGTATGTTTATTCGGCAGATGAGAGTGATCTCCTTCACCCAAATATCACAAGTTGTCCAAAGTAATGCTACAACTTGTATAATTTTCTTATCTATATATCATGCAAATGAATCCCTAATTTGCATGAGTAATATATGGATCTACAGAGAATGTTATCCATATAAAATACATGTAGTTACTTTCTTTGGCCTACATGTAGCAGAGAGGATTGCATGTTTGTGTAACATGTGCGTGTTTTCCCAGCACTGATGGAGTCTGGTGAGAAGGACCGTCCGACCCTGTTCCTGAGTCTGGCCAAACATTACAAGGAGAGCATGAGGGACATGGCTGGCCGGGCAGCAGGTAGGTTCATCACTCTCTCACTCACTTCCATGTAGATTTAGACTGCATTGAAGTACCAAAAGGGGGCAGTATTTTTTACCAGAGCCAAGATATTTGCACTGTATTAAGTAGAAAATCTACTACAGTCATGAAACGTTATGTCAAGGGGGGTACAAGGGCTATAGAAACAGAAATTGGGACTGCCCTATACACTAAGAGGTGCAGGCTACCTTAGCCTACTGAAGGCTAACTGATAACTTCCATCTATCTGCAGGGGCAACCTGCTCAGCAAGCTGCTACAAGCTCAGACCTCTCCGACCGGATGGTTACATCATTCCCTTCAATTCAAGGTAATTAACATTCATTAAGAAAAATTCTCTTCGACTTTTGAGACATTAGAGACTGTGGCTTTGCCAGTGTCAACCCACTGGTCAGAGTCACCAGCAGTACAGATACAGATACAGAAGCTGGTGTGTTATGGTATGCAGAAGGGCGGTACCAGTTATACTGGCTATACAGATACAGTTGCATACTTTGAGAAAGTCAGTGCTGTATTAAATGATTTCCCCATGACCCTTCCCTCCAGGGGTGGTGGCTGTGGTGCTGCTATGAGAGCCATGTGTATCGGCCTGAGGTACCCACGGTAGGTCTGCTCAACTGCTGGTTCAACAGTCTTGTAGTTAGGGTTGTTGATGTTAGAATCTGAAGGTTCTGGGTTCAAATCCTGAGAAGGCCTAATATTGTGTCCTTGGGACTTCACTTGACTCAGCAGGTATATACTGGGACCCGAATATGAGGGCTTGCACGACGTAAGTTGAGTAACCTCACGTCGTGCAAAACCTCGTTTCGGGTACCCAAAATATAGCTCGACTCAGATGAAAATGAGTACCTACAAATGTAGCTTCGGTTAGGAACATCCTCTTGGATAGGACGTAAAGCAAAGCTAGGTTCATTGTTTTAGGAGAGGAATTTAACTTAAGTTAAGGAATCCACCACACTTATCAAAAAGAAAGTGGGTTTTCACATCCGACCTTTCAGTGACTGACTGTCACCTTCTTCAAGTTAGCAATGACTGGTTCTGATTTGTACTGGAGCAGTAGGTGACAGACATTCACCAGAAATGTCTGACGTGAAAACCCACTGGTTGTTGAATAAGAAACCCTCTTGTACAGTCTGTTGCCAGCCTGATGAAATTATACACAGATCCTCTGTCCTCCTTTCAATCCATGGTCCAGCCCAGAGGAGGTTGACTCTCTGATCGCCGTGTCTGTTGAGAGTGGTCGGATGACTCATCACCACCCTACAGGTTACCTGGGGTCGCTGGCAGCGGCTCTGTTTGCTGCCTACGCTGTGCAGCGCAAGCCTGGTAAGCACTATGTATCATGTCGAAATGTTAAAGTTTAAGTCCTGCAGTGCAGCTAAAAGGGTCAGCAATTTTTTGAAAGCTTTTGTTCTATACATCTCCCTCTGTGTTTGTTGTTATTGTTGTTTGTTGTTTCACAGTGCGAGAGTGGGGGTCAGGGCTGATGTCACTCCTGCCTCGGGCTCAGCAGTACATCCGGGACTCCGGCAGGCACGTACAGGAAAACCTGGACGCATGGTGAGCAGTGAACACAGTTGTCCTCCTGTTTACTTGTTTCTTGTGCACAACTAGTAAACTGCCTTTGGGAAAAATGCAACAGATTTGTACAATAGGTACAAGCTATGTTAGAGTGGACTGTAAGACTGTAAGATGTACAGTTAACATCTATCCAGTAAGTAAAAATACACTCAAAAGTCTAATGATTCACTCATTCATTCATCCATCCATCCATCCATCCTTCCATGCATCCATCCCCATTTATTTGCTCATTCATTCATTTACTCATCCATCCATCCATCCATCCATTCACTTATTCATATTCCCTCAGGCCCTACTTCACAGAAAAGTGGCAGGCATACCTGGAAAAGCGGGGGATCTCGGATGGAACATCCGACCCTACGTTCCCAGAGGAGTACGGACCCTCCGAGAGGGACACCTTCTACAAGACCCTGAGTTTCTCTGGCTGGGCGGGGTCTAGCGGCCACGATGCTCCAATGATCGCGTGAGTTTGGAACAGATTTGTGCAGAACAGGTCTTTCAGCACCAAGGAGAGACCAAGTTGGTAGAAATGTTGGATTGTTATGTTTACCTTCGCCGAAGGAAAACGTACTGTTTTTGCTCAGTTTCTTCTTCTTCTCCTTACAAATAAAAAAAAGTCAATGACCTAGCCTACATGTTAACCTATCAGCTTTGACCTTGACCTTTGTTCTTTTTTTCCACTTTCCCTCAGGTACGATGCACTCTTGTCTTCGGGGGATTCTTGGGAAGAACTCTGCAAAAGGTAAGATTTTAAGGAGTTACACAGAAAATGAAGCATTCTGTACTTTTGAGTTATGGAATCTTATCAAATTTTTTCCCCGCATCTTAAAATGAGCTTTGAATGATTTTTCTGCCATCTGATAGATCCATGTTCCATGCGGGTGACAGTGACTCCACCGGCGTCATTGCTGCCTGCTGCTGGGGCGCCATGTATGGTTACAAGGGAGTGCACCAAAACAACTACAAGGTGAGAAGGTTTAGACCATGGGTAGTACTGTTGTAAACTGCTTAGATGCCATGTATGGTTACAAGGGAGTGCATCAAAACAACTTCAAGGTGAGAAGGTTTATACTATCCATAGCTGGGTAGTAGTTTTAAGCTGCTGGGGTGCAATGTATAGTTACAAGGGAGCACCCAAAATTTTGATTTGGACCATTTGTAGCTGGGTAGTAGTTGCAAATGTATCTTATAGAAAAAAAATATTGTTCATCCCTTAAGGAACATGAAGCAACAACTTAAGTCAAATTAAAGAATTGGAGCAAATCAGACTTTCTAGGCTATTTTTATTTATACCGGTAGATGTTCAATTGTTCCAACAAAACTTCACCTCAAAGTCTTATTGTTTCCTATTTTGTTTTCCTTGTAGAAATTAGAGTACCGCTCAAGATTGGAAAAGGCTGCAGAAGAGCTCTACAACCTCAGCCACTCCTCATAGCCAACATAGCCAGTACACTGGAGGCTGAAGAATATAATATTTGTACACATTTTGTACTCATATATGCATAGTTTGACTAGAAATGATTGGTGTTTCTAATTAGTTGCACAAGTGTATTTCTGTATATACTGATGTGTTTGATCTTTTGGGACTTTGCTTATCCTTAATGATGTAGTGCACTTATACGTCTTGATGCAAAAAAGTTCATGGAATAAATAAAATAGTTACAAGCTTGCTAAAGCTGTCTGAGGTTTGATATTCTTTTAACTTTGAATTGAGTGTTGAGATTCATTATCTTAACTATTTAATGCTATCAAAATAGCATGCAGACAGTGCTAATACCTAAAATATTACCTTAATGGACAAAAATTCATGCACGCACGGATGTCATCCATATAATCAAATCTACATGGCCTTAGACTGAACGAGTAACCAATTAAACATTTATTACCCGCAAATGTAGTTAACTGACGTGGAGAGGTCTGTAAACACCAAATAGCAATCACAGACTGAAGTATTTCCACGGTCCAGCAGTGGTGATTTACCTTGGTTGGCTAAGTGCATTATGACATGTGACAATACAGTCCTGTCAACAAAGCATCAATTTAGATAATGGACTCTTTCTATTCTAATGGCCCGAATGTTTCTCAGAAATACCTACTAGTATTCAACGACATGACAACAGCCAGGGATCATGTTTCCGATGGTTAGGGAATTGCAGATCAATCAGTGTGAATGAGACATACACAACGCAGTCCATCATCCATACACATTGTATAAAAGACGTCCCATAATCATAACCCCATAGAAACGCCTCCCTGTTACCTGTCATGGGACTGAGGTCTATGTCCCACCAGGCCGAAAGTTTAGATGTCTCTGTTCGGTAAACAGCGTGCAATATTAGCTCCCTGAGGTATCATCGGAGCGTCTCAACTACGGATCTTCATTACCTGTTGACATAAGCAGGGTGTACTTTGTAAATTACAGGATATACTCTGAGGTAAGGCCGTATTTCCGGACGGTGGTGTGGTAGCAGCAGGCAATTCTGGAGAGACAAAACATCGAGGAGCAAAAGAAGATCTGACAAAACATACGTCAGACAGACGTACTGGTAAAACTTAGCAGGTAGGTGAGTCAGTGTTTTACTTCTGTAGTGTATATTCTGTATCATATACATGTACATCGCAGTATCGTACTCAAACTAGCTGAGATGAGAAAAACTGCAACGAATAAAGGCGACGTATTATACAGTCAATGCAAAATGTATTCGATATTCTATGTGGATTTGCCGGATAGATCCTGGTCAAAAATTACTACAGTCCAGATGCTGTGCTTATAGTCTATAGTGATGTTGTTGGTTCAAGGGGAGCAGACATTGTTTTTCAACGGATGCAAATAGTTTTATCCATTTATTGAGGGATATCATCATTGATATCATTAGCACTAGACTGTTTCAATTCATTACGTTACTACAGTAACTCTGTGCAAGGTCGAAAATTTACGTTCATCAAATATCGATATCGTAAGTACTGGTATACGGTATGACATTTTACTTTCATCATGCCCCTATGTAATTTTGTGGGTACCTTTCCGTCCATGCAAAAACTGAGATTACATTGAAAAGGGCATGTCTGTCGGCTAAAAAGCCAGCCCAGCTTAAAGCATTCTCCACATCAGTGCCACCACCTGGTAATAACTCTCCGCACCCGCAGCTGTTCACAGTACATCTCATACCCTTTTAAAGATTATCTTTTAACTTACGCTTCCACCCTTGCCGTCCTCCCAGAACACCAAATAGTTTTTGTAAGGTGTGTGAGGCATGCACATTGAACTTTTGAGTTTTGTTGGTCACGGCTCGGTCACATGCGCCGTCTTACGATTTTTTCGATTTCATTGAATTTGGAAATTTTCTGTGGCAGAGCCAACCCCGTAACAAGACAGCTTGATTTTGTACGACAAATGCCCGACTAACCCAAGAACGCATGAGTTTTTATCGTACAATGATCGTTCGGCCGGGTCTTCGACCTGGGTACAAAAACGGCAACGAGAACAGTGCAAACCACTTGCATTTGCCTTCAGGTAATTTTTTGACGCCTCAGCCTGTATTGCGTCAATGATAGAAAACTTCCCCTCTTCTTCGAGTTTCCACCAGCCTACATGGGTCTGCCATCTCAAAGAGTCAGACGGGATTTTGGAGGTTCCCGTCTTTTTCAAATGACAGTGACGGAATAAAGTGATGATGACGAAAACTATGAGGGAAAATAACGGAAAGGACATGACAAAAGAAAGATGATTGTGGAAATTTCAATGGAGGAAAGATGCTACAATCCTCTATAAAACGGCATTCTGCTAAATATTTCCGTCGATTCTCATTATCAAAATAGAAACAGTATGGGCATTATAGGCTCCTTTTGTGAACTGTGTATGGATGCTACTCTGAGTTGTTCATGTTTTGTACACTATAAACTACTGTACACTACAGGCAGTAAGACCCTTTATTATATCCAGTATAAAGGTTCTACAGCCGGTGGCGACACTTTGATATTCTTTTATGAGGGAGGCAAATTTGTGTTGTGTGGGAGGCTTAAGAAAAAGCTCCGGAAGCACTCGGTCTTTGTTCACCAACCGTCAGACGGAATCAATTATGCATCACAGGAGTTTGTTAGGGAATTTCTCCCGTGTGTTGAGAGACAGAGGCACGCATTGGCTGCAGCCATATGCTAAGAATGTAGCCATTGTAAGGTCGCCCTCTATTGGCTACCCAAGGCCCGTGGTGAAATGTATGCTTGGCAGGTGTTACTCAGTCAGTGTTACCCCTGGTTACGTACTCGGCAGGGGACAGGTAGATGCTTAGTGGGGAATTCGGTGGAATAAAGGGATGCCTCGAGCCGCAGAGAACGATTCATGATTAACATAAACTCAGACCGGTGTTCTGGATAGCTTCCCTGTTTTGATACCGTCACAGGTACAATTGTTGAGTTGAGTCAGAATTCACAAGTGCATCGGCAACTTGAGTTGAACTTGATATTAGAGAGACACAAATTTCCGATGAACTTCGCTCACATTTGAATATCGTTACGGAAGTTTGACTTTAAATATAAAAGAGAACTGTTGATTCTTATCTAGTTCCCTTTTCACTTGTGCGACTAGCGGCTAGCGCTCTTTGAACAGTTGAATTACTCCCACCTGTGAATAGCGCATGGCCTCAAAGACCGCCGTTTGCTAAGGCTCTGTTTGATAGCAATTTGATTCACTGCCGACCAAAGCCGTATTGTTATGTCGCACACCCTTCTTGCTTAACGCGAGGATTACAGTGATTACCGTCTCACTGGAGCCGGATAATGCCGCCGCCATATGTAAACAGACCCGCTCAGGTGAAACTCAGTGGAAGTGTTTACCGGGGAGAGCAAAAATCCTTCAAATAAGGCATTTTACTATTTTGTTTGCAAGACTGGCTGGTATTTTCTCACTCAAAGTTCATATATTTGTGACTCTAGCATGTGTTACACAATTAGTCGTTGTCAGGGACTGAACGGTCTTCTTCCACGATTTTTGTTAATCTAACTTTAACCATGCCTTTCAAATTTCATACACGACGTACGATCCAGACGACTAACTATGGATAACTGTAGTTTCCAAATAAAAACAGGATCTACAGCAGCTATAACTAGCGTCAGAGAACAACACGAACGGGTACATGTTGTCACACATTCTTCTGTCAAAGCTCAGATGTCAGGGTGATACTCCTGGAGTGACAAACAATGCCCTCAGATCCATGATAACAAGGACATATATAAAACGGTTGTTATGCTTTCAGAAATATCTGTGTTGATGACCAGATAAATCTTATATATATATATAATGAAAAAAAAATATATAGATGATACAAATTTGTCACATGGAAATTTCATCTATGCTGGTGCGTAGTTCTGTATTTCTGTTTCTGTCCGTTAAGGTAATGTAATTTTTGATAAACATGCAAGTCACCTCCGCAGCTCCCTGAATGAACCTCAATGAACAAAACAAAATAAATGAAATGAAAACAACCATGCCAATTCATCACTCATGGTGCCTTTTCATTGCAATACTCCACAGTCACACGCCTCACATTTTCACGTTGGCAGGATCCGGACGGTATCAATAAACGGCTGTTTGGTTTTCTGGCATCAAATGCTGAAATAGTGCAAGCGCTGTCAACTGAAAAAGCTAATTTCGCTTCGTTTTCAAAATCAAACTCCACTGAGTTGCTTGAGTAACAATTTCGTTGTGTATCTAACTTCTCTGGCTTCCCGAATATTTAGCTTAAATGGCTTCATAGTGTGTCCATATCGGTACATTCCTTGCATGTATTTTGAATTATTGATTAATTCCTTGCCAAATGTTGATATCTGCCAATAACGCCAGTCTCTTAATTAGATGTCGCTTGGTGTTGAATTCCTCTGGGCCAGTGTGACATTTGTTAAATGTTGACAGGGACTGACCGGTGTGAGGGTGTCCCGTCCCTCACACAGCCCCTGACAGCAGGGCAAATCTTACAGGCAATGTTGACTGACAGATTACGTCAGAGTGGAAACACTGGTCACCTCCATGTTTGTCACGCTAACTGCACTGACCAGAACCGTGACGTTAAACACGGCATCACGAAATCTTCTCTAGCTAAATCCATCTCACGATCAACGATTCCATACATGAAATGTCATCTATTTACTCAGATGTTTTACAGATCATTCTACAACATTAATTATTCTCGCACTAATTGAAGATTGGGTGCGGTAATACAATCGGTTCCTTTTCAGACACCCGACCAGAACGGGGATCATTCCACATGAAGGATGATTTCTTGACACTCGAATGCTTCTAGATTATTTTACTGTTGTATCCTTTTGGTATACATGTATAAACAGAATCGAAGTTATCATAGAGGTATGACGTGCAGCGTTGATATCAACATAAGAAATGTCTTCATATTCAACCCTTTAATATCGAAAAGAGCAAAATAAACGGATTCTCTAGCTGTTAAAAGGAATTTCCTGACATATAACCCTGTAACGGCAGGTATTCCCCCGGGGGAAGTTTAGCGGGTGATGAGTTCACGTTTTTGTAATATCTGGAGTTTATCTGCTCGAGAAGCTACTGAGTACACAGTAACCATGGTGACGTATAAACACGGGATTATCTTCTTATGTCATCCTTTCAACCTTGTCTAAAGTCTGACTGTCCTTACTTCCCCTTGCTGCACTTTTTGTCTGTAATACCGACATGACATTTTTAGAAGCAGTAACTACATTTTTTCCGTCGAAAAACAACATTCCTGCACGAGATGTTAAACGTTAACCGTTATCACAAGCTATTAAATCAACTAAATGATGCACGAATAAAACGCATCTCATTCTAACGGTTTTGGCCAGAAATTAAATTCTCTGGTGTATTTTAGAAACGGACCCAAACCAACCTACACTCTCAACCCACAACTCATTCAACAAAAATACTCCCTATACGCAATTAACCGTAAATGAAAAAAAAAATCAATATCACATTACTTTAAGTATTTTACAATATTCGTAACAGACTGTTTCTCCCTCGCCACAACGACGCATGATTTCCGACAGTTTATTCTGCTGGCAAGGTTCTTGTTTTAGTTTCTGTGCAATGATGACGACTTCCTGTCAACACCAATGTGGCGTGGTCTACGAGACAAAACATGTGTTGTAGAAGTTAAAAAAGGCAACCAAGCTTGATGTTTGTGTTAGTGAGGTTTGCTTCGTGATGAAACGTTTGTTTGGGTCTATGTACATGTATCTGTGGTGGTGATACAATATTGACAAAACATGGCGCGTTGCTTGGTAACGGAGGTTACATATATGCAGCGTCACCTCCGCTGGGCTACAATCACCCTGAGAGCATCAGCCCAGACACTGCTTAACTCAGGTGCGGTAGTTGTTTTCTTTCTCCTTTCTATTAATTCATGCTTAGCCTCTAAAATATATCGGTAATTTGTCCATTTTTGTATCATTTCAATTCCCCCCCGGCAAATTTTATTCTTAATAATTTGTTTCGTTGTGGTAGGAAAAACGATACAGTTAGACGCTACTCTAGCATTGCTATTCAATATGGTCATATAGTCCTCTCCTCTGAAAACCATTAGTACTTTCTCCCTCTTCCCCAAGCTATTAAGCTTAATGGAAAGGCAATGGATAAAGCGTTACACATGGGATCTCGAATTCGCAAGCTACATATCATAGTGTTCTTTAAGCTTGTTAGAAGTGGACGAAAGTACTGAAATACCTGTCCACCAGTTCCATTTTACGCCCACTTGAAGCCAAGGTTTAAACCTCCTTGTTTGTAAGACCTAACGTTAACGTTACATCTCCCGCGGTAGGCTAAGCAAGATGACGTGATCTCTAAAGATGTGACGCACGGTGGACCAGTATTTTAGCGCAAGGTTAAATCCTGAGAAATCTCATCAAAAGGCAATAGTGTAAGCCTCACATACCTGAATGATAGGCCTAAAATTTGCTACTCCTTTCCTTTATGGGATGAGCCGTTCCCTTGAAAGTCAAACATAGGGGCGGATTTCCGCATTCACATGATGTTACGTGCGGTTGGACCCACGCCAGAACATCCCGAGAACGAAAGCTACTGGCACCGCGCCTCTCTAGTTCCTCATTCCTAATCGTAAAGGTCATCGAGTTCATATCACGGCTTACTAAAAAAAACCTTGCCAACAGTACAGCATCTATTCAGTACTGAGACAACCCTAGCAGAAAGTGAAAAGGTTTTGCTCAGAAAAACACACCGTGAAAGAACCGGTTTTTGTGGTGACGCACTTTCTGTACCCGCGGGCTTTTATGTGACAGTGACGCCGACGGGTTAGAAGGGATTTACCTTCGCATGCAACTCATTCACGCAGCAAAGCCATCACCTCATAGATCTAAAAGAACATCAGGTGGTGAGATTTCCAGCGAGTGCGCACAGATCCGTACTAAAGCACTGCCAGCTGGCAAGTCAATATATACTACCACAGGATTCAGTGTTTCAATCGTGAATTTTAACCCGGACCGTTCATTTGTTCACACAGAACGAGCAAGAGAAGCAAGACAAGACTGAAGATGAAGCAGTTTATCCTGACAACGTTCTTCTTCCTCGCTATTTGCAGAACAGGTAAGCCTTTTTTGTTTTAATATTACTATGGCCGTGAGATATACCGTTTTAAAAGGATCTGGGTGTGGCTGAACTCACCTGCCAAGCGGCTATCTGAACACAATCACAAACAGCACGCTTTACAGATTTCTGCAGGAAAATGTACGAGACGGTCTACACTTACTCACATTTACAAGGGCCGGTTTCTGCACGTTATCTCTGTATCATATACATGGAGATCACCTCGGTCGTAGGCGTGGTTTTGATTCGTCACGAAAAGGGAATTCAATGCCGTATATCCATGATATATACCTGGATAGGGTGCGTATCAATGCTCTTGAAAAATTGATAAAGAAGCCTTATTTGTCGTTAAATATCTCTACATATAGCTGTATTCAATCAAGCTTAAATTTCTCTTCCAACAATGAGCGAGTGAGAGTGATTGCCAACAATTGATTTAGAAAATGCGAATGTGTTTCTAGCGTGTTAAGAAGTGTTTCTTCTATAGCTTAATGGGAATGTTATGCGACAACGACAACACGGTAAACATGGCTGTTAAGGACTGTTAGAGTCTACTGACTCCAGAACAGTTACTTCTACTGCAGGGTAAGCCTGACTATAAAGTGAGATGAACAGACATGTAAACACAGCTTATGTCTGAGTCAGTATACTGCCGGGGGGATTGTTGTGATGGCCGTCGCCATGACAACCAGTCCTTATTTATACACCGTATGGTCGGGTTTGGAGTATCTATGGCAACACGGGACTCACTAAGCAATGCACTAGGGGGTATATCAATACAGGTATTCACTCATACCCTCTCACCTGACAGTAATTAAACATTGGTGTGTAACGCGTCATATACCCTCCAAAAAAGATAGTGCAAACTGTCCGACTATTTTGGGGAAATCTTTTGATGCAAAGTTTGCGTTAGCTTTGAGACACTATAATGGTTAAAGGTAGTAGATCTATTCACCTGAAGGGAGAACATACGGCGTCGGAAGCCTAACACAATAATAGTGTTGTCGTAACGATATTGGCTGGACGTACGTTAACTGAAGCGCGGAGACCAAATTGACTCATAGTCAAAATTGGCACTTTGTAAATTTGCATAACCGACAAGTGCAATGACAGGAAAGTAGCTTCAAGGGGGCGTTAATGCTAATTGACATAAAGGTGTGTAACATTTGCCCATTAAACTGCCTGTAAACGCCTCGGCATGGCAACCGAGAGAAACAAAGTCATACTCGGCCATGATTGGTTGAAACTTGGGTGAGGCTTGTCGGGTTTAATTAAGCATGACTGCCATTTAACTGTGTCATCAAATGTGAACACACCCTGAAAAAGATCAGCAGAAAGCCACATGTTGACACGGTCTGTTTTCTAAACGTGTAATTAAGGGGGCGTCTTCAAGGGGGTCGGCGGATATTGACAGTCGTCCCCGCCCGAGGGAGGGTACACTGAAGCCATCGGCAGACCGTGACGTCTGTGTTGTCTGTGCAACAGACACGGACACGGTAGTTACCGAGTTAACATGCCCGACTAACGGGGTGACCAACCGTGCGAACAAGTGTACAGTGGGCTGATAGCTGGCTTACTGAGTTGTCAATCTTCTCATCGGCACTGAGAAGCAACGTACACCCAATACAACAGTTTACCACAGCCATGTCATATGATGATTTAAGTGCATAAGATATAAAATGATTGAATACTGTATTGAGAGCATTATGAGGCGACTAATTTGATATGTTAATGTACCGTGCGAGGTCTTTATGGATAAACGAAAACAGACTTGAATTCTTTTACCAAAAGCAGTACATGAACACGTCTGGGTGCCCTTGATACCCGAGTAGTTGTATGTAAAGATTAAGGTAATATATGTATTATGTACAGTAATACAAATATTG